GAAGTCATGCCATCTAACTCCAGGAGACTCTCTGTAGGCCAGGATCCCCTGAGGACCCCACCTGCCAATCCTGGMCACTCCTCTCCTTCCTTTTCACGCTGCTGCACCCAGACACCCTCCACTCAGAGAATTCTTTTTTTTTACAAGTATGACCTCGTTGCCCTGGGTCTGAAACCTGCACTGCATTTTCAGTGGCCTCAGAAGAAAGGCTTACAAGGCCACCACATTTCCAGCTACTTCCATTTCCCCTCCTCTTCATGTGTCCCCTACATGATGACTTTTCTCTCTTCTCTCCTGTTTCCCTCTTGCCCTCTGTCTGGTGACCTCCCACTAGTCTCTGAAGACCCTGCTCAGTGTTCCGTCTGTGCATCCCCGACACATAACCTAATTAAGTCCATTGCCCTGAATTCCTGTGTTTACTGACCGTCCCCTGCTCTATGCTGAAGGTTCTTTAGGGACAGGACTATGTCCAATTCAGCTCTAACCCTRTCCCTAGCGCCTGAGCCTGTCTTGCCAGGTGGGAGGAGAGAGCCGTGGAAAGGGAGGACGAGGTGGGGCTCTCGGCTCAGCTCYAGGAAGGGTTCTGGGCTCCCAGCCTCAGGGCCTTCCTCCCCCAGAGGTGGCCTCCGTCACCTCCTCTCCCTAGCTCTGCTTCTTGGGSTCTTCCTCCTGCTCCAGTGCCAAGTGGGAGGATCCAGGGAAATGGCAGGTGAACTGCATGAGGAACAGGATGACCAGGAGAGAAGGTCACAGAAGAGCCGTGACCGTCCAGCTGTTGGAACTTAACTACTGCGAGAGACCTCTGGCCAGCTCCCTGCTCCCTTTGCTCTGGAGCGTTTGCTACAGCAGCCCATGGTGCCCTAGAACCCCGCAGCCAGCAGCCTGCTCTCCGGGATGCCCACCCTCCTGCTTCCTATTGTCTAACCGTGTGCTGTCTCGGGTCCAGTTGTCCCCAAATCTGCTTAGGTCAGGCTTCCTCGTTGCTGTGACAACGWAAGTTCACCAAATACGATAGATACACACAGTCTCAGAAGTTGGTTCTACTTAATGATTTTTTTTTTTTTTGACTTTACTATGACGTGAGAGTCAGATGCATCTGATAGAAACCAGACGTTCAATYTCAAATGTGGATCTCTTCCCAGGCTAGTGAGGTGAAATGCAGTTTGCCACTCTGGGGATGCCAGGTGGTGGCAGGGAGCCGCAGCTCCCAGTCAGCTCTGGGCTCCAGGGTCTGGGTGTGCTCTCCTGCTGAGCTGTGATGTTGGGTAGGTGACAGGTACGGAAACACTGTCAACTTCTGATGTTTTCAGCTTAGGTTGGCTTTCTCAGGACACAGCCCCTCCCTAAGTTGAAGGGCATCTCTACCAATGAACTTGACGTGAAAAGGGAGAGTTGTTGTTGAATGGTGACAACGACTTCACAGAGGAGAACAGTTAAGGCCACGGCTGGTGAATGTGGCATAGGTGGGGTGGCTGGGAAAATATAGGAAAAAAATATAATAAAAATCTAAGGAAAAAATAATAGAAATCTAGGCAAGGCTGGTATTCAGGAAGCTTCAAAAGTGTCTTGCAATGCTCAATGCATTTTTAACAAGACCCCAATTGGATGATTTGACTGCGGCTTATTTAAGAAAGGAGCTCTAATTCTGGGGTGAAAGAGAAGTMGTTGGTCCTACCTCAAAGACTGTCACATCATACTCCTTCATGCATCTCACATTCATATGAAGTGCTGAAGGCCTCATTTTGAAAACGATTGGCTATCTGCCAACTTTTCCAGAGAACCTGGCAGGTCCAGCTCTGCCTAGAGTCTGGTRAAGGGGCATCTGCTCTTCACAGAGCACCTCCTGCAGCCTCTTGCACCCACAGGCATTCTGGGAACTCGGGAGCCACCTCAAGCAAGAAGCTTGGCACGTCACCTGCCCTGCAGCCCTGGTCTCAGTCCCTGGGAACAGCCTAGGTCAGTGGAGGTAGCAATTGCTTTCACAAAGCTGCCCCCATTTTGGATGGTGCTTTCTAGTGGCCACATGTCCATCTCAGGAAAGGTGCTATGGTTTAGATGTGAGGTGTTCCCAGAAAGCTCATGGGGGGGACACTGCAGGAGAGTTTAGAGGTGAATGGTCGGGTTATGAGAGCCGTAGCCTAACCAGAGCACACATCCACTTGAATGGACTAACTGGGTGGTAACTGCAGGCAGAGAACGTGGTCACTGGGGGTGGGCCTTTGGGGTAGGTGGCACGCTCTCTCTGCTCCCCGCCGTGGCTATGTCCGGAGCTGCTTTCCTCCTCCACGCTGTGACATCCTGCCTCATCTCAGGCCAAGAGCCACGGAGCTGGCTGTCTATGGACTGAGCCCTCCCAAACTGTGAGCTCCAAAGAAACTYTTCCYCCTCTATGTTGTTCTTGGGCGTTTTGGTCACAGCAGTGAAAAAGCTGACTCAATCCAAGGCAAACCCAGATTTGGACAAGGCGCCGTGTGCAGGCAGAGTCATCCCGAGACATTGCCAAGCCATCTGGGTCAAAACGGGCCAGTCAGGCTGTGAAGCGAAGCATCGCACAGGAACACAAAGCTGGTGCCACTCTGGTGACAGTGAGTCCCGGTCACATGTTTCCAGCCCCCTTCCCGGTGGCTCCTGTCACACATTAGGGCATCTGTTGGTGAGGGAGGGTCCTTGGGGGCAGCTGTCCCCTGGGGCTTGGCTGCACCACCAGGGTCCTTCACCTGCAGGCTTTGTCTCCCTGCCCCCACACCCGGAGTCCCACTGGGACGACCCACTTCCACCTCAGGCTCCCGACAGGTCACCGAGACAGAAAGGCAGTGTGTTTAGAAAGGGAACAGATTCAAGTGCTGGACGTTAAATTAAAATACGAAAAATACCAAACTCACTTCAATGTTCTGAAACAACAGATCCCTTTGCAAACTTTCTGCCTTGATTAGTGACATCGCTACTGMCCTCAGTCTCCTCAACTAGAGAGATGGAAATCACTTCATTCTCTATTTTTCCTCAGACTCTAGTTACTTTTGGAGCCACACAATTCAAGCATTGGAAATAACGTTGGCAGCCACCAGCTGTGGACCCCTCACTTACAGATGGGGAAAACCAAAGGGCAGGCAAGCGAAGAGATTCACCCAAAGGCTAGTGAGTGACAGAGTGGAACGAGAATCGAGGTCAAGTTCTGACTTTCCACGATGACATTCTCTGACCCATTTACTCCTTCGTTTA